GTGGCGACGGCTTTGGCTCCCCCCCGGAAACAGCCTGTGCGCGCCGCCTTCGTTCCGGAAGAGAGGACCTCTTCTCGTCAGCAGCCGCCCTCGGGCAGGGGCTTCTCCGGCCGCTGGGCCTGTGTCGAGCCCACTCACAAGTGGCCCGAGGCGGGTTTCAGAAAATGAGTTTGCGGCTTTTCCCCGTCTAGAAACGCAGCTCCCGGACTTGCAGTACCAACTCCGACGGGAAGCGGGACAACTGGACTTCCGGCGGAAGTGGCGTGCCCAAGGCCCCGGCCCCGCCCCACCTGTCAAGCTGCGGGCGTGGCCACGCACCTGCCGCGAGACCCGTCGGGGCGTGGCTAGGAGGCGCAGAGGCGGGCCCTCGGCCCCGGGCTCCCCAAACCTCCCAGCGCGCCAATACAAAACGAATCCTGCTTTGGATCCTAGTAACGTTTTACCTTTTCAAAAAAAAAACACACACCAAAAACACCAAACGCATTGTCAGCATATGGCATGAGGGTCAGGTTTTTTCTTTTGTCTATGCGCATCAAATTGTTCAGCACCCTTGAGGACTGTCCTTCCTCCATTCACTTGCACATTGTCAAAAACCAGTTGGCTGCTTGTGTGGGTGTTTCCCGGGTCTCTGCTCTGCTGCCAGCTCCCAGCCTGCCCCCAGAGCTCTGCAGGAAGCTGTAGTATTTGAGGGGTGTTCCTCCCATGTCATTTTTCCTCACTGTTCTAGCTATTCTGAGACCCATGCCCATCCACATACATTTTAGAATAAACTTGTCTGTAAAAATCCTTCCTGGGATTTTGATAGGAATTAGAACAGAACTATAGATTGATTTGGGGAGAATTGACATCTTTACCATGTTGTCTTTCAATCCATGAACATGGTATGGTATGCCTCTCCATATTTGGTCTTTGTTTTCCCAGGCATGATACCAAAAGCACTTCTCTCTGCTGCACTCACTTTTGCTGACTTCCCAAGGGACTGGATAGAAACGTGGGTAACAGAGGCAAAGGGCACACACTTGCAACAAAGATATAACACAGCCTGTGGCTTCAACGTGGACCAATAGGCTGCGGCTCCTTTGGGATGGCAGAAACCTTGTACCTTTTTGGGGTGCTCATACCTGGGCCCCCGGCCCGGGTTACTTGTGCCCGAAAGCCAGCTCGGTGGAATCTCCTTAGTAGTAAGTAGTAACCAGTGATGTCTATAGCTGCCTGTCCCTGTGACGGGAAGGGGCATGTCGTAACCCATACACGAACAAACATGTGGAGAGAGAAACAGAAAAGGCTTGTTTATTAGATACAGGAAGGAGGCCTTCTCTCACACACAGGTGCTGCTTCTCAGTCTGTATCAAGAGCAAGACAATAGTTGAAAATCGTATTCCTGAGAAGAAGCAAAAAAGTTACAATTTTGCAAAAAAAAATTACAGGTGATTTTAACAAAAGATAAAAAACACTTTTTCTTTTACAAAGAACAAAATTTCAAGTATTATTCCAGAAGACAGCAAACCCAACGCCAGAGAAAAGGGTAAGGACTAGTGGAAGCAAACGCTCCTCATGCTCTTGGTGGGAAGGGGCTACTCCAGGGAGACTGGGGTGCCACCAGGGCTGACCTGCACCTGGCACCTTGGCTGCCTATGGCCACTGCCCCACAGGAAGGAATAAAGAACATGGGGAGAGTGGGTGGGACCTGCAGCCTTGCTGACAGAGTAGCAGCAGGGACCAGCGCTGTTTCCTCCCAGGCTCGGGGTAGTGGCAATCCAACTTATCCAAGCCTGTGAGGGGGCCATGTACTCAATGTCAGTGTCCAGGGTTAACAGTTCTGGACATCAGGTGATGTTTTTATTAATAAAGAGAAACATACATTTATTCTTTCAAATACCATACTATCCCCAATTTCAGTCAATTTGTATATTATAAATTATATT